CAAATACCAATGTTAAAGTAAAGAACGCACAACTTCTCAACGATACAAGCAATATTAAAATTCAAGGATGTTCCCTTCAATACATGAATATTATACACAAAATCGTGGTTATCCCTGAGCAACAGAGAGCTCAAAAAAGGAGTATTATGTTACGACTAATTATGTATTTATATGTTTGACAGATGTCTGTGGTATGAAAGTGAATTCGAACGCCGAAACTGAATATTTTTTTACTTACGTCTACATTCTTTTCAGAAATGAAACTTGTTATATATCTTGGTATATACCTGTATAATTTGCATGCTTACTTAGATCACTGTGTTTTGTAATAGATCTGTAGGCGCATTTATGCTTAGGTACTCGTATACCTGTATAATTTGCATGCTTACTTAGATCACTGTGTTTTGCAATAGATCTGTAGGCGCATTTATGCTTAGGTACTCGTATACCTGTATAACGTGCACGCTTACTTAGATCACTGTGTTTTGTGATTGATGTGACTCTGTTTCTGTTTTGTAATACGTCTGTTCTTAGCTTGTGTTGTACTTTTGGGAGCGGGTTAAAGTGATATATTTTCATAAATGTTTATTTCAATCAAATTGTTTCATTGGCATTTTTAATCCTACAGGTAATAAGGTCATCTTGATTCACGGAAATCGGATTAACTATTATCTGTAGCAACCAAGACTACATGCTGTTTATCGTAAAATGGGCTCTCCAGCTCGTCATTTGCATAGAATATTGAATGTAGTGGTAGTGCGTGTAAGCGAAAAGTGTCCCCGATCAGTGCGAAAGCGCTAGAACGACTAGACACTAAGCGTGAAAAAGTTTATTTTTATTTCCTGTTAATACCAGTGCAGTCTATTTCCCGGGAAGATATTTATGAACTGTTTAATCATCTAAACTCACCATTTCCGAATTCATTATACTATACCTCACTAGTTACTGTTGCTAACTCGGACAAGCTAAAATGTGTTTTTGATACACAGCATACGCATTGAACAGACACGTACCAATAAACAATTTCCGAGATGCGCGAGCGCTTTCATAAATATCGCGGGCGCAGTCATTTTGGGCAGTSTGATGAGAAACTATTGGAAAGCACTATAGAGTTATAGGCGGTTTCTAAAAGCCTTGAAGAAAGTATTTTGTCTAAAATGAGCTCTATTTTTTTAAAGTTGTTATCTTGCTCCAAATTAAAAGAAACTTCAAATTATTTCTTCCTTAACACAATTTTCAATTTTTAGTATGTGTTTCCCATAGCTCGCAGTAATAGTCTTCCCTTAAAATGCGTCGTTTTCGAATCTGACTACGCGATTCTTTTTACATTCGAAATTGTAAATGTCTGTAGAAGAAATACATTTCAAAGGTACATTAAGAGAAAAAACGAACTGAAATAAATGCGGGGGGGATTAAATAATAAAATATTAGCAATCAGAGAGACGCGGTAAAATATATCATTTTCGAACTCGTACTACA